GGGTTAGCCTGGTGATGGGTATTAAAGAGGGCACGTATCGAATGGAGAACTGGGTGTTATACACAAACAATGAATTATGGAACACTACATCAAAAACTGATGATGTAATGTATGGTGATTGACATAATAAAATAAAATTTAATAAATACATAAATAAATAAACAAATGGAAAAAAAGAAAAAGAAAATATTGCCCTGTACCACAGTTGGAAGATCTAAAATATTTAACCTTTTAACTGGTTTGTGGTAATGACAAAAATATTTTCAATATAAATGAATATACATTCAAAAACTAAAACTTACTTTCTGTGCTTTCACATAGATACGTGAAATTAAGTCTCCATGGTCTTAAGCAGCAAGTTATCATTGTAATTAATTTAACTCATTAGGTTAATATCTAATGGGTTTTTAAGAATGAGGATGGGGATGCCTGGGTGGCTCAGTTGTTAAGCGTCTGCCTTCAGCTCAGGTCATGATCCCAGGTTCCTGGGATCGAGTCCCACATCGGGCTCCCTGCTCCGCAGGAAGCCTGCTTCTCCCTCTCCCACTCCCCCTGCTTGTGTTTCCTGTCTCGCTGTGTCTCTCTCTGTCAAATAAATAAATAAAAAAAAATTAAAAAAAAAAAAAAAAAGAATGAACATGGGAAAGAATTTTATGTAGGAAAGAATCAAAATATTAATGGTGATAAATAAGATCAAACGTGACTTCAAAATTCTTCCTCTTATATATAATTAAACATAATATACATCTAAAGGAAACCTCTGAGTATGAATAAGAGCAATTCTATTATTTTTAAGTTTAAATAGAAGCTAACTCAAAACTCTCAAATATAAAAAAAAAAAACCCTCTGAAATAGATGAATGGATGAATACAAAATAAGCACAAAACCTGAACAAAATTACTTGCAATTAAAACAGATTAAAATTACTTCATTTATATTTTATAAACTGATTCTTTTTTTTTTTAAGATTTTATTTATGTATTTGACAGAGAGAGTGAGAGAGATCATGAGCAGGGGTGGGGGGTAGAAGCAGGCTCCCCGCTGAGCAGGGAGCCCGATGCGGGGCTTGATCTCAGGACCCTGAGATCATGACCTGAGCTGAAGGGAGACGTTTAATTAACTGAGCCACCCAGACACCCCTATAAACTGATTCTAAGAATATATGACTATATACCATGTTTTTTTTATAGAGTATCAGTATTACATTCTCATGAACAACAGGTACAGGAGAAAAGAGTGGAAGAACTATCAACTTTATTCTCTCATAAATATGATTAAATTACATTCTTTGAAGGAACGATTTGTAGTTGAATAACTATGTATAGTATTAAGAGTCAGATTAATTTTATAAAATACTTGTTCTAGGTTTCTTTTTATATTTAAGAATATTAAACACATTTATTACATTTTTAAAACTAAAATATCATCCAACATACTTTTCTGAAAGAGTATAAGGCAAAACAAAGATAGAGATATGTCAATGAAGTGGCATCAAGCATGTGATATCTAATGCCAGTGAATGGTACCATATTTTGAGAATTACTTACCACATTTTGGTTAATAAGATGTGCCACAAATTTTGAAGCAGTAAGACAGAGTTGCTGAAAAGTGAAGGTAGAGACAATTTTAATCTATAAACTAAAACCATTTTCACTTAACTACTAAATCTACAGCTTATTTACACACTCTATTTAAAATACGTAGCACTTAAGGATAATTTTTATAATATAAGAAAGCTACAAGATTAAAAACTATTACATGCGAAATAGTGCCATTTCTGGTTAAATAATTATAATTCTACAGTTATAGCCATCAGTTTTGTAGCTCATCACTAGTGACCAGAGATATTTAATGGAACAAAAAAATGTTCTCATGAAACGCAGTTTTTAAAAAGAATTCCTATGTTGCAATCAACATTGCTTATCACTGTTGATACTAGATTATTAGTATATATATAAAATATAGTATGCTCAGTTGACTGTCCCTATGTGGCAGTCGACTTATAAGCCCATCATATATACCTTATCGTTTCTTCGATAGCCTTTTCGGAAATTAAGAATTAGCCTCTTGAGGATTAATTCTCCAATCTGTGGAAATTTTGAGTTGATAATTGCCACTAATGCTGCATAAACATGGGTGAAGATTGGAGAAGCACTCTGCGCTTGCAAAACGGATCTGGACAGCAGGCCTCTGTTTAAAAACGAAAAAAAAAAGTCAACAAGATTCCACTTCCAACTCATTTTGAAGTGAGCACGGTTCTATATGCATTTGATAAGGGGAGAGATGCAAAGTTATTTCTAGCAATTAATGACAAATAATCATTGGACTGCCAAAAGGCAGTAAAACAGTATCTTAATAGTTATCAGGTTGAACTTTGACAACTGAATCAACAGAGTAGAAAATGAGAAAAGAAAATGCAGCTTATAAATTGTGAGATCATAAGCAACCCATATAGCCTCTGGTGCTTTCTGACTAAAATGGGAGAGCTCTACCTACCTACTTTTGAGGACAGAAGCTGCCTCTTGGTCAACTTTCTATATCCCCACAACATGTTATATCTTACTTTATATGCCCCCTCACCAATGTTTTGGAGATGATAAATCAGGGTCATGTGAAATGACACAGGAAAACATCCCTTAGATTTCAAAATAAAAAAAGAGAATATAAAATATTTCTATTTCCTGATCCTTTTTTTAAAATCACAACCAATTAAAAGTACACAAAAAAAGACTGTCATTCTCTTCTGCTTTTCTAAGATTTATTACTGATCTTTCTCATTTCTTTTACATTCTCACTTTACTTTCATTAGAAATTAAAATTATATATAAATAAAATGTTCATTATTCCTTATGGGTTTAAATTATTGGAAGTATTCAGTAAACAAATGTCTGCACAAAAATCAGTATGTGACATCAAACCTTCTCAAAAAGCAAAAACTCTGCAACAATTTCTAATGGTGAAGTACAAGTTATTTGTTAATAGCTTACATTTTTACAAGAAATGCATTTTAAATAATTATTCTCTACTACTACTGAAGTAGCACAATAAATCAATGATTATTGTCCATGTAGATTTTTTTTTTTTTTAAAGATTTTATTTATTTATTTGAGAAAGAGAGAATGAGAGATAGAGAGCACGAGAGGGAAGAGGGTCAGAGGGAGAAACAGACTCCCTGCTGAGCAGGGAGCCCGACATGGGACTCGATCCCGGGACTCCAGGATCATGACCCGAGCCGAAGGCAGTCGCTTAACCAACTGAGCCACCCAGGCGCCCTGTCCATGTAGATATTATGTTCATTTGAAAAATTGCTATGAAATACTATAAATAAAATAGCTGATGCTTACCTTCCTCTAACTATGTTTTCTTGAAGAAGTTCTTGAATAATAATACCTATATTAGAAATGTTGACTTTGTTGATAAGACCATTGATTGACTTCTTTAGGGCCTCCCAGCTCATCCTCTGGTACGCTAAGCTAAAAAGAATTGATTTTAATAAAGATGAAAACTTAATCAACAATTACAATAACTGCAGATTATAAGAACATAAAAAATACTTGGAGTTCTTCTGTTTTTAACATTATTTTCACAAAATGACCTCAAAGTGCAGTAAAATATATGACTATATATTTTACTAAATACCTAAATACCTAAATCTACATTTGATGTTCTGTACATATGCTCAACTACAGATCACTTCTCTTTAATAACATAATAAAATTATATAAGGATATATAAGGATAATGTTTTGTTCTTATGTCCATGCATATTGGAAATTATAACATTCCTTTATTAGATTCAATACATACTTATTTTATATTATAATACTTTGTTTAGTTAAAATTGTCTTTAAATATTTTAAAATGACAACTTTAAAACATTTTAAATTATAATATGAAATACCCAAGTATAAGCCATACAAAAGGAGATTTTTATTACATCCTTTCTTATAAAAGCATAAGGAAAACAAAATTAAATATTTTAAACTGTAAAGAAATAGTGATAAATACAGGAAAAGGGAAAGTCATATGAAATCATGGGGCTGAAAGACTGTTGTATTTTAAAGAACATCTCTGCATTTAGGCAGTAGTCCCACATCTGTATTACTTGTTTTTTAACTGAGACCTTAGGCAAATACTTTAGCCTAACTGGGTTTGTTTAGGTTGAACTTGGTGACACCTAAGGTCTTTTAAAGTTCTATAATTCTATGCTTTTTATATTTATTTCTCTGTGGAATATGATTTCAGCTGCAGAAAGTCTTATCTTTTTCATCTTCCTTCCTTATACGTCTCTGGCAGTCTGGTGAAGCTGAGGGTTTCTTGGAATAATACATATAAATATATAGGATTACAAAGGATACCAATCATATTTAAATAGTTTTCAAAGCACGAAAAGAAAAAAAAGTTTGATATAGAATTCTTTGTGCTTCATTAAATAACAAGAAGTGGTGGTAGGCCTAATAACTTCTTTAATTTCCAAGTAGCATGGCCATTGAGTAATATTTTAAGATATTTGCAGCAAATACTTTGTTAATACTATGGTCTCCTGCCTATATTCCTGAGAGAAAGAAATGCGAAATTTTAGTTAGACATAAGTAAAAATAAAGATGCAAGTTTTTCTTTCCATTTACATTCATGGATTGCCTAGATTCTACCTATGGACCTCTGGAAGGTCTGTAGGTTAAGGGTCCCTGTTCTGGAGTGGTATGCCAAGGGAGAGGTGGTGACAGCAGTCTACCCTGGTGGGGAAGAGTATTTTATCACTGACATTGTCCTCAGTAGACAGTAAGGACAAAAAGCAGACTGACTTGCAGTTAAATTATATTGTTTTTTAATTCCCTATAGATCATGTATTCTCTAAATGGCTGCATTTGAGGTGGTGTAACATTTCCAATGGCCCCCAACCCCAACCCTTTGGTATGCTACTATTTGAGAAACAAGATCAATGGCTTTAAAACTAGCCTAATTAATAAGAGTGCTCATACATAATCACAATCTCTCCTATTAAACTTCAGTAAAACAAACAACCAAACAAAAACTATAACCAAGCACACTTGTATTTCCTAATTAAGAAGCCCATAATTCCCCTGACTTCGTATCTACTAAAAGTAAAGTCTATAGACTTCTCTTAAGAGACTTCTACTTCTCCTTGTCCCCTTTACAGCCTATGAGCAGATTTAAACTGTATATAAAATTATCTTCCAGAAATCTATGTAAAATTACATATACTGGGGACTCTTCTCCACCCACTTTATATATAAAGAAGTAAGACTTGGCTTAATAACAATGTTTCTGTCTATAATCAAGATTGCTTTGGACTGGATTGGAGACAATGACTCTCTCACTAAACCTGCCACTGCTGCCTCCTCTAGAGAGCAGGGAGCAGAAGGCCTACGTGCTCATGAAGCTCCTGCTAACCACAGAAGCCATCTCCAAATCCCTTCTAAACGTAACACTGCAGGCATTACTACCATGTACTGGAATATTACACATACAGAGAAACTTACTAATTAGTTTTAAATTCAATGTCATCTAATGTCCCTTGCTAGCTCATAAATTTTAAAAATTTTATTTCAAATATTTATATTTATATAAATGACATTTCTACTTCAAGCTAATTCATGAAGTAAATTTAGATTTCATTTATCTAAGGGTCTCAAGTACTTTCAAGTTGCCATTAAAATACCTATGAAAGATGTGGGAATATTCTTTCATGGCTCACCTGGAAATCTGTTTTTCTTAAAGTGTAGCTACCTTCTATCCCAATCTTTCTACTACCTAACTGGCAGTTGAGTGACCATTTCAATCTTGGACCATACTTTTTGTAATTATCCTCTCATTCCGCTAGAGAAAAAGGTCCTGAAAACTTAGCGATACTTTCATATATAGCTCCTCTCATCTCAATTATTTTGAAAAGGAAGTGAAGGTATTTTGAGGGTGAGTGTTCATCAATGAATTTTGATTGTTTGCCTTAGCAAAAAATTACAGTCTAAGAGGGTAAGGTCTAAGAAAACTATGGAGTACATAAGATTCAACTTCATTTCATAGTCACCTTCATTTCATAGATTAGTATAGGGGTTGGCAAACTACATCCATGACTCAAAAGCAGCCTACAGCCCATTTTTGTAAAGAAAGCTTCACTGGAACATAGCCACACTCATTTGTTTACATATTACCTATGGCTGTATTCACTACTACAGCAGAGCTGAGTAGCTGCAACAGACACAGAACACTGCACAAGCCTAAAATATTTGTCTGGTCTTTTACAGAAAAAGTTTGCCAACTCGTGGTTTGGTACAACTGGAAAGATGGATTTTAGTTCTAAAATATCAATAATTCGCTTGATTATCTATGAAAAAATGGACACTACTAATAGGTATGCATACAACTAAAAAAGGAATAGTTTGAAAATAGTAAAAATAAAGGATCTTTCTTCAAACCCTTTTGATTTATTCATGTAAAAAAATAAAGAAGCTGAGCTAATGTCAGGGCAAATAGTAAGCAGAGCTCCAAGGAAGCTTACGGAGTAATGAGGAGAAATCTAATTTGAGGTCTCTACCATTGTGGACTAATAATGTAAACTCTCAATAGCCAATGTTAATTAGACCATAGTTGACTTTTTTTCAACGATACTGTATACTCAGTGATATTGACATGCCTGTTTTTGTCTGTGATCTGCTCTTGCATCATCCTGAGCTTTGCAGGAGGAATATATGCTCCACCGGTGCGAGTAAGAAGAGGATCCAACTCATCTTTCTTCTTCTTTGCAGCAGGTTCATCCTGAGCGGAGGAACTCTGGGTTACTGATGGTTCTGGGCTTCTTCTCCCAGGAGATGGGGATTTCCGAGACCTTTTACGATCCATATCTCTTTCTCTTTCTCTGCGTTTTTCTCGGTCCCTACTTCTGTAATATTAAAAAATTTTTTAATGGAGAAAAGGCAATATAAATTACATTCTTAAATGAGCTGCATACCAAATGAACGAGACCATTTGCAGGCCACGAATTCAGAAAAGGGAAACTGGTCTGGAATGATGAGGAAGTGCTTCATAGAGAAAATGTACCTTAAATTAGGGCTTCAAAGCTTGACAGAATTTATACTGGAGCAAGGGTGGGAAGGTGGAGGAGGAAGGAGGGCATTCTGCAACTAGTGGAGAATAGAGTAACTACTGAAAAAGAGAGCAGGAGTGTTCAAGCTAATAAGTAGTATTGTCAGGAAACAATAAAGAATCATGTATAATGGTAGTTGGAAAGATGAGTTTGAGTCAGACTATGAAATCTTAAAAGACAAGCAAAAGACTAAGTATTATATAATGGAGTTGATGGAGAAACACTAACAGTTTCTGAATGTGACAGTGACATGAGAACAGTGTTTTAAGAAGACAATTTAGCCTGCGATGTACACAATATACTGTATAAAGAAGAAATCAGAGTTTATCTCCAATAATGGCAATTTAGGAATAAAAATGTCCTAAGAAACTGTAACATTTGAAATTATTTCTTGATAGAACTGACATTTAAAACCTCAGAATATCAAAAACATCTGGTGATTTGAGACAATGTGAAAAAAAATCAACTATTTTCCAGCTATAACTCTTCCCAACTACTGTAGGTATCTTTTCTTAAGCTAACATTTTTAAAACAATCAAGGTCTTATTCTCTGAAACTATCAAGAATTAATGGGAAGAGTAAATTCCTGCTTTTTTAGAGGAGTCTGTCCACTTAGCTGTTTTTTTACCTATACTACCTTGGAAATTTAGATCATTCTGCTCATGCTTTGTGCAACCATTAGTTAAATGAATATAGTAAATAAAAACAAGTGTCATTTATCACGATTACCAGGAAACTGCTTGATAGATTTTAGCTAGATCTAGGGGGGGTGTATTTGAGATGGTCTGTCTTAATATATAGTAATACAACTTACAAAAAGAGGGAGGGTCACCTAGCCAGGTAGATTCAGAGGAGATGTTTTGAAACTGAAGTATACCACTGTATACGCAAAGACAGAGTGAACAGAAAAAAAGTGGTTCTAAATAGACACCCCAATTAGTCACAAAGGCAGGTGCACTGTAATCTAGGCAGTGATTTGCAACTGAGTTGCTTCTTACTGTGAGTGTACTATGTTCTAAGAGAGTAGCTAGAGCAGGGATTTACTGGCATTGGTTACGATTCTTCTGAGAAACACTAGGTGAGACTGCTAGCTGGCTGATAAAATTGCATCTTTAGAATTTCACTGTTTGTTCCTTTAGAGTGTAGAAGTAATAGAGTCTTCTTCAAGTCTAAATAGAAATATTTCTCTTCCAATGCTTTCATACTGTTAGCTTGCATTTTCTACATAATACCCAGCTTGCTTACTTCACAGTGTGACTGTATGGATCAAATGAGACTTATATACACACACTGGACCAAACACAGTTACAATGGAGTAATACAGTCAGAGATTATGGAAGAAAACATGGGCTTTGGAGTCAAAATTGAGTTCAAATCCCACTTTCATTGTCTACCAGATGGGCAACTGCAACCTCAGGTAAGTTACATAATCACTTCAAACCCACTTCACTTTTTTTTTTTTTTGCAAATTGTGAAAAAAATATACTATCTAGTTTGTAAGAATTTTAACAGTATTTGAGAAAGAGTGCAGAATGCTTAGCTCACCAATTATGGTGGCAGTAGTTGGTTCTCCCAAAGGGTCATTACGGTGATAGCAGATGAGCCTGGCTTTTGGAAGTTAATTTAATCTGACATTTTAGTTTTGGGTATATATTAGAAAGTAAGTAGTGAGAAGGAAACTTAGGCTGCAGATGTCAAATAATGTGATTAGCTCCAAACTGCACAGGAGTGTCATCAAAATTTTGGTGGGGGTATAGTCTTGATAGTCACGGAGTGGGTAATATGAGGGAGACATCAAAAGGATACAGACCTTCGTGAACAATAAAATACGGGAGACAAGTTTTTGAAACTGGATGACTAATAGGGTGGGTAGTCAAATTCTCCAAGGCTCAAGAAACAATAATTTATATTAGGTAAAAACTAGACTGGTAACTTCATTCTTACTGTCCCAGTGCCATCATGCAGGAAAGTATATTTTGATCATTCTATGTCATATAATATAAACGACTTTCATTCAGTAAGGAATCTCAAAAATTCACACTGCCAAGTCCTCATGCAGTACAGTACCGTATAATGAATAAGAGCTTAGGCTCAATGTCAGACAGACCTGGACCTCCCACTGACATGCTTCTAAAACACAAACACATGACTTAAATCCTCTTTGCCTCAGTTTCATCTATAAAACACACAATAGTATCTACTTCATATATTTACTGCAATAAGGAGTTAATTACATGAAATCCTTATTAGAAAGCCTGGCACCTAAGAACATCCATGTAATGCTAGCTGCTATTACTATTGTTTTTTTTATGAAGCATAAAGAAAATTTAAACAAATATGATTTTTCTATAGTTAAAATTTCCAATACTAACCGTGACTCCATGCTACTATCATAAGAACGCCCTCTTCTTGAATGCTCATAGTCTGACCTGCTGTAATCAAAGTGATCTCTATCCCGAGGGGATCTTTCTTGTTCTGCATATCTAACACATTAAATAAGAAAACCAAAGTTATAAGATGAAAACTACATGTTATAAATACCTAGGAAAATCATATATCGGTAATGCTAAAGCAACTCTATGACTGAACGATGTCTTACTGAACTTTTTAACAAACAGCTTATTTTGTTGACCCATTCATTTAGTCTTGATTATAAAAGCTTTCAGCTTGTGTACAAAATAACTACTGGAGTTCACGTAACCAAACCTGTCATCCTGATTCACACTGTCTTAAGTAAAAGATAGATATCTGGATATCATATATAGTTGGCATGAAAAAAGCCCACCCTGCAAATGACTCCTTTTGCCTAGTTGGCACATTTTATTAAAGCATCGAACAAATGAGACCAATGTCATTGGTTGGCCTCCATAAAGAGCAGTTTAACTCATTCCAAGAGGCATCCAAAAAACATTAGCTATTATTCTTGAATCTGCTTTACTGAATAGCCGTGAGAAAGGATTGAAATTACTAGCAAACAAGGATGACAGTAATAAGATCTGCCATTTGAACTTTAAATATTAATAAAGTCAGAGAACCTTAAGAGAAGTTAAATACATACACACATAATAAATATACATAGTAATATATATAGTAATTCATATTTTACATACAGTTAACCTTTTGAACAGTTGTGGGTTTGAATTGTGTGGGTTTACCAAATTTTTTCTAATATAGCACAGTATTATAAATGTATTTTTCTCCTACAATTTCATTAGTAACATTTTCTTTTCTCTAGCTTACTTTGATGAAAGGTACTAAGTAGTTGCAAACCATTACAATTAATTCAATGTCCATGAAATAAAAGATTTTAGAGACAACAGAGTGAAATAAGAAGAAAGTACATATGGGGTAAGGAACAGATGAGACCACTGAAAGGAAGTTCAGAGGATGCTTCTCCCTTCATAAATTATTTTTAATGGTCATAGCTCACTAAGTGAAATAACAAGTACTACTATGAATGCCTGATGAACACTAACAGTAGTATTTCTAGATCTTTCATCTTAACACAATTATAAGATATGATATATATAAACGTATTCTAAAATCTATTAAGAGCTATGTAAAGGATAGTAGTAACAGTAAAAGCAGCACTTCAAAATAAGGTGATTTCAACTCAGTTTTCCATTTTATAAACTTTCATTTAGTGTTTCATTCAATATTCATTTTATTTTATAAAACTTTTATGTAGTATTTGACATACTGAAATTATTCTCACCTCCAAAATTAGATAAAATCTAGATTTACTAGAAACTCCTAGAACAGTCATTCAAGAATGATTTGTCCTCAAGCTTATTCAAGTAATATTGTAAAACCATCTAAAAGAAATTGTTCATCCTAAAATGAAGAACCTAAGAGCTAAATAATTTTTTAAAACTTATTACAAAAAATTTAAATTTTAGAAGCACGTAAAATTATTTACCTGTCTTCTGGAGAGGAGGTCCTCTGATAGGAATTATAGTTTTCCCTTCTGTCATGACCAGAAGAATGCTTTCAAAGGGAAAAAAAAAGAGGGGGAGGGGTTATTTAAAAAATTATGATAAAACACACAGAAAATGAAATATGTATCTCAGAAAATTAGAAGTGCTTTACAAATTATTTCAAAGCTTTTTTTAATCGTAAGAATAATTCATGTTCTCTAAACAGTAGATAAGATAAAACAAAATTTTCAGGCCCTCCAAGGTGAATATCTGTGGCAGATAATCTGTTTTCACTATGGACCACATACTTTTTTCAACCAAAAAAAATTCAAGGTAGAAGAAAATAATTCTCAAATTTTCGATGCCACTTAGTTGATATTTTATTCCTATGTATTAAGTTTTAAAGATATAGAACATCATTTTTATAAACACCTTCTCTTGGTAAAAAACAAGAGCAAAGCTTTTTCTTGGTGAGAAACATGACTAAGGGCCAGAGATCTTCTAGCAAGAAGAGTTCACTCCTGTGGTTATATCAAAGTCTTATAATACTGCACTTATCTTCCTGGATCTACTTGGTCTTATAAAAACCACTTCAGTTCAGGTTACTAAAATGGGTGCCTAGGTGGCTCAGTCGTTAAGCGTCTGCCTTCGGCTCGGGTCGGGATCCCAGGGTCCTGGGATCGAGCCCTGCATCAGGCTCCCTGCTCCGCAGGAAGCCTGCTTCTCCCTCTCCCTCTGCCACTCCCCCTGCTTGTGTTCCCTGTCTCACTGTGCCTCTCTCTGTCATCTTTAAATCTGGATAAAATAAACAGCTAGAAGAAACTGACTCTAATATATTTATAAAAATTCATTTTCACTTTCAGGAAACATTGTGTGAATGTCTGATATGTATGGCACTATGTTAGACTCTACAGATTTGAAAAACGTGATTCGTGAGAGAGAGCTCCTATACCAAATCCTTTGAAAAATAACAAGACATACAAATAAATAACTCCACTGTAACATGAAACTGAAAAGAAATGTCACAGAGACAGAGATATGAACTATCCAGTTGGAGAACAAATCTTAATTTAAAAATCCAAATACAGTTAAAAAGCCAAAATAGGTAATAGGTAAATTTTTTATATCACTGATGAACATTCACATTGACCAGCCTTTTTTTTAAGGATTAAAATAATTTTAACTAACCTAAGTATAAGAAAGGAAAAATAGTATGTTTTTAAAAAGCAGTTTTACCTTAAAAGCTAAGAAAAAGGAAATCAAATAATGAACAACTTGTTCTGCATATTTACATGCTTGCCTCCTTAATGGGAAAAAGAAACATTTAAAAATAGAAAATTAGGGGCGCCTGGGTGGCTCAGTTTGTTAAGCGACTGCCTTCGGCTCAGGTCATGATCCTGGAGTCCCGGGATCGAGTCCCGCATTGGGCTCCCTGCTCAGCAGTGAGTCTGCTTCTCCCTTGGACCCTCCCCCCTCTCATGCTCTCTCTATTTCATTCTCTCTCTCAAATAAATAAATAAAATCTTTAAAAAATAAAAATAAAAATAAAAATAGAAAATTATATTGCACAGGAATGTAAATAAGGTCCAACTTCCTCTTATTTTATGACTAATTAACAGCAGTTTGAGTCTAACATTGTCACAAGTAAACTGCCAAACAGTCTCATTAACTATTGAATTTTTCTAATAGTATATACTACCTAGACTAATCGGTGTAGGTGGATAAGCATGTGATCAAAATTTGTTAATTTATGGTAGCCGTAGTTTGGCTGCTATTTTATACTGAATGCAACCATCTTAAAATCCTGTTTCTAATGTATATAAGAAAGTTATAAAAATTATTTCACTTAGCAACACAGTGAGGTAAAATTGTTCAATATGTACGACACAGTTTTCTATAAAACTTGACTTCAAGATCCCAAACCAATATGGAGCACAAGACTCATTCGATTCATGGCAACACCAAACACAGTATTTACTGATCATTTAAGACATAGCCCTTCCTGTGTAGACACTCTGGAGGACACAAAAGTTAGTAAAAACCCTCAAGGAATTTATGATCTTACAGTAGAAAGATAGCTGTCAAGATTTCCACAGTTCAACATATCAGATTATGAGTTCCTGAGAGAGCATAAGATAAAAGAAGAAAAAGAGGAGGAGGAAGAGAAGGGTGAGGGGAAGGAGAGGAGGAAGAGACAGAGAGAACAAAACTGCAGTCTACTTTTTCTTTTACAAGTCACAGCAATTATTTTGATTACATTAGGGAGAAGGCCTCAGTGCTGTGCTAATGATTTTTAACACATCTCCGCAACATCTGTTGTAAGCAAGGGGGGAAACCAAAAATATTGAAGTCATGAATCATGATTTCGTAAATATGATGACGTTAATGTGACTGACACACACAGAAGTGTTAACAGGACATCTTGAGTAGGGAAACAATAACTGAATACTGAGGGATGAAGGTGGGTAGAGGGGGATTTGAACTAGGCTTTGGTAGATGAACAGGATTTCACTAAGTAAAATAACATTTTGAGATGTGATTCAAATAATAACCTGAATTTAAACTGAGGGTTGCTGGAGTGGGGGTGGGGTGGGAGGGATGGGGTGGCTGGGTGATAGACATGGGGGAGGGTATGTGCTATGGTGAGCACTGTGAATTGTGCAAGACTGTTGAATCACAGATCTGTACCTCTGAAACAAATAATGCAATATATGTTAAGAAAAAAAGAAGAAGATAGCAGGAGGGGAAGAATGAAGGGGAGTAAGTCGGAGGGGGAGACGAACCATGAGAGACGATGGACTCTGGAAAGCAAACTAAGGGTTCTAGAGAGGAGGGTGGGGGGATGGGTTAGCCCGGGGATGGGTATTAAAGAGGGCACGTACTGAATGGAGCACTGGGTGTTAGACACAAACAATGAATCATGGAACACTACATCAAAAACTAATGATGTAATGTATGGTGATTAACATAACAATAAAAAATTTTAAAAAAAGAAAAAAGAAAAAAAATAATAATAACCAGAATTTTCCTATTTCCTTTATCTCAGAGTCCAGATTATAAATCAGAGTAGGCACTGAAAATAATATATTGTCAAAATTACCTTTAAAAAATTCTCTAAATTGTTCATTGAGCAAAACAAATGTTTGTACTATGTGGTTACCTACCTATAATCTCTAACGATAAAAAGACAACAGTATGAGATAGTAAGTGGAGCAGGGAGCCTGAGTCCGAGCGTCCATTAGGCTCAGGAACCAGTCTTTAAGAGCAAGGAGAGAAAGGGTTGAAACAAGTAGGAAACTTGGTTCTTCATAGTTAAGGAAGCTGCAGCAAGGCTCAATGGAAAAACAAGGGATCCTCAGCTGAACCCTCCCGAACCTAGCAGATGAGTCCTCAGAGCATCAAGGGGAAGATGTGAGCTTCACCTGAGGTGAAAAATGGGTCCCACCCAGCTAGTGGACTTGCCTGTGGCTAACAGGATGGAGAAAGGGAGGCAGACTAGGCTACGAACTGGCAGAGACAGCCGAGCCACTAAGCTTGGAGGGCATGCTGACTGAAGATACCCACTCCTAGGATGGGAGGGTGCCACTGAGGACCCATGGGGACCACAGGAGGTAAAGGTGGAGAAGCCCAGTGTAAGAGGAGCAGGACAAGGATTCTGAAAAGACTAAACACGTCTCCCTCTGTGTGAAAGGTATCCGGCTAAATCTGAGTGCTCTCATCTAATATGGCTCAATCGAGCCAGTTCCACACCAGGTCTCCTCTCTATGTCCCCAGCTTTTAGCACAGTCTGCCACCTACTAGGCCCACAATTAATTAACTGCGTAAGTGCCACTGGACCAATGAGTACAAGTCCAAAGAGGCAGATTTCAGAACAATATATGAAAGTATCTACTGACCTTTGGGTCTAGCTTGAGACAGTGAACTCCCACCAAAAGAGATATGAAGCATGGGCTGGGTGTCTACCAAGCCTTATACCTGATAGTATCATACTCGACAAAATTTAGAAAAGATGGCAGCAGAGCCTGCCTCAGTCTGCAAGTCTATCAATTCAGTTTATTAAACACTTACCAGGCACCAGGCCTACTACCTGGTGTCTACTGTTAAGCTCAGTCTACTGGTTCTCTTTAAAGAAGGAGGTTTAGGGGTGCAGAACTGGTGGAGGAGAGAGGAAGGGAGCAGGGCCTAGATCTGTAATTAAATAAAAATACACCTTCCCCTTTACTCCAAGACCCAAGGAGTGATATGTCTGCTTGTAGATCTGTGCAGTTGAAAAGAAGTGGAATGGTTTGCTCTCCTGCTAAGTCCACTGACAAGCAGAGGAACAGTTCTGAGAGTTGACAGAGTTACTGGTCCCTATCACTGCACTGACTGCATCTACTATTCTCCCTTTCTTATAACCTGCCTCAGCCACACTAGACCCTTTGCTTTATACTTGCTGTTCCATCTGCCTGGCATACTCTTTTCCCAGGTATTTGCAGGGCTAACTTCCTCATATGCTTCAAGCTTCTGCTCAAATGGCTACCTTTTCAGTGGGCCCTCCCTATCAAAAATTGCAACCCCCAATGCTAATGATCAACTTTACTCTACTTCTTTTGTCTATAGCACAAGTCTAGCTCTTAAGAACACTATTCCCACACCATTTACTTATGGATTAAGTTTATAATTTATTTTCTCTCTTCCGCCACTGGAATGAAAACTCCATGAGACCACAGATTCCTGTTTTGTTTACCATTTTACCTAAAGCGCTTACAATGGTCATTGGAACATAGTTAAGAATTCAGTGAATATTTGTTGAATAAATGAGTGTATAATGTCTAAAGGACAGCACAGAATAAAGAGCTTGTTTATGCACATGAAATGCAATAAAAGGCTCCCTTGTAGATAGACATGCAGGAACTATGATTAACCGAGGAAGGACAGGGCGCCTGGGTGGCTCAGTTGGTTAAAAGACTGCGTTTGGCTCAGGTCATGATCCCAGAGTCCTGGGATCGAGTCCTGCATCGGGCTCCCTGCTCAGCAGGGAGTCTGCTTCTCCCTCTGACCCTACCCCGTCTTGTGCTCTCTTTCCCTCTCTCAAATAAAATAAAATTTTTAAAAAACAAAACAAAACAAAACCTGAGGAAGGAGATGCCTGTCTTCCACTTCACGCTCATTCAGGGAAGTATGTTCTTTAAGAAGAATGGTGGAATTCCCTGCCCTGTTAATTATTCTTCTTTTGCATGTGCTCACTCACATGCACTTTCCTGATTTGGGCAGGCAATGATACACATACGCGCATACATGTACATGGACACACATACATACATCTTGCACGTTCTCTCACTTGCCCTCTTGCACACTATTGCTTCTATCTGATCACGTAGCAACACTTGAAATTGTGTAAGTTAGATATGTGTATGATGCCACTCTACTGTCTGGTTCTAATGTCCTAATTCTATAAATGCATTTTTTGATTAAATGACAGGTACAAGTTTATGTTCTTCATTATAAATTTCAAACACTTACTTTTATCTGTGCCACACTACTTTTCATTTTCTGTTGCCAGTTGATCTGATAAATTAAAGACTCCTTAAGTTGGTCCAAATAACAGGTACCAAATGGTATGAATTCCTTGACAGTTTACTTTTCCTGTCTGCAAATGTCACCTGAAAGATATACCAAAGAAAGCTTTGTTAACACTGATAAAATGTATGTGAAATAACATTATTTACACACAATGAACATTTGACCATCTTATTTTTCTTAATCAGTAGGCACAGATATATAATCAATTAAATAAAAATTCAAAAATTCCTTAAACAGTTCCACATAACAATGTATAAAAAGAACACATTCATAGAAAACTCTGAATAAGAGAGCAAATAATAAGGGCTTATTAAGCACCATAAGGTATTTTAGTCTAATGACTGAGAGGAACAAAAATTAATTTAATAACTGATGTCAGATAACTTTATTCAAATTGTTTTCAGTGAGGGACACCTAAACCTACATCATAAAACAGTACTGTGATATTATAAAAAACAAGTGAACAGAAGAAATAATTATATAAGATAGTCTATATAAACTGAGCATAAAATATCCCATGTTTCTATATAAACTAAGAATGAATTATCCAATGTTCTTATAATAATGATCACTCAGAAATAAATACGCTATGCATAAAAAATAAGGTGTTAAATTAAAATAATTAAATTTTAACGTAATCTGTCAAAGGCACATGACTTCAGATATATGCAGGTGTGAGAACTAAGTTATTTGGCTCAGAATAAACCTAGTCACCAACATTAAGTGCTAAAATAAAAATTTTTTCACTATACACCTGTTAATTACATTTTAGGAATTTTTGAAAAACGCTCAATTGCTACTTATGTCAACACAGAACTACCATTTGAGTATTTAATTCTAATTACATATCTAAGTGGTTTATGGTTTGGTGTAAGGTAATGAAATCACAAAAATCAAATGAAATAGAAGAAAATAAAAGAATTAAAAGAGGTAGACAATATACAGAAAGAACTGTGCCCAGTACCAAAATAACTGAATAGAGCGAGGAAAATTTTTATATTTGAATGCCAGAAAGGATTATAGATTATCTAGTTCAATTCCTTTTTAAAGATTAAAAATACTTAAGGCCAGATAAGTCATTTCAATGTCCTAAGCTATACTACCAGAAACTTAGCCTAAGGATACCCAATTTTCTTTCCACTAGACCACATACATAAATAATCTTGACACTATAAAATAGTGACATAGAGCTACTATCATTTAATGCAGATAGGGAAGTACACAAATCACTAGGTCAAGAAAAGTTTCTATTACAGCGGTTAACATGGCATCAAAGTTCTTAAAAGCAAAATATATGAATATATGAGTTTATAAACTTAATCTATAAAAGATAATTGCAATGTAAAGCACATTACCACTTCTGTATTTGTAGCTGCAGTTAGACTAACATGCCTTTAGGGGACTCCCAGCAGGGAGAGAGCCAGAGGAGAGGATCCCCATGTGCCCAAATCTCTGACCACTTCTGAACCAACACACATACAAAACAGAGTACTGCTAAGGATCAAAGAAGTGAACTGTGATATGAACAGCCACCTAAGAGAACTTACAATTTAAGTCTAATCAAGTTAATTGCCTAAAAAGTCACCACTCCTCAGACGAATGTAACAGAATCTACAGTCTTAAGAACATAACAGTAACTGTCCAGGATACAATTAAAAATAACTTATCAGAAAACTGTGGTCCAAGCTTAAGAAAAAAGACAAAGGAGACCGACATTGAGATGACCCAGATGTTGGAATTGGCAATACAAGGTTTTTAAAGCTTATTCAAATGTGCAAAGGAAAACATGCTTGCAAGGAATAAAAACAGGAAAGTTCAGCAAAAACAAAACAAAAGGAAACAAAAAGAAAACAGAACCAAATTGAATTTCTAGAACTGAAAAAATATATGAAGTGAAAAATTCACTGGTTAGACTTAAAGCAAAATGGAGATAAAAGAAACTCAATGAACATGAAGTAAGATCAAAAGAAATTAACCAATCTAAAAACAGAGAAACAAAAAAAAAATTTAATGAACAATTATCAGGGACATGTGGGACAATATCAAAGGAACTAATAGCTGTGCAATCAAAGTCCAAGAAGGGAAGAGAGAAAAAATGCAATAAAAAAAATATTTCAAGAAATAACCAAATTTCTCCAGTATTTGGCAAAAGGCATAAATTTACAGATTCATGAAGCTCAAGGAATCCTAGGTAGGACAAATACAAAGAAAACCATGTCTATGCACATAGTCATAGATAATGGCCAACAGTCAAACTGCTGAAAATCAAAGATAAAGGGAAAATCCTGAGAGCAGCAAAAGGGGAAAAACAATACCTGTACATACAGGGAAATAACCGTTCAAATTACTGCTGACTTCTCATCAGAAACTAAGGAGACCAGAAGACAATCTTAAAAGTGCTGAAAGATACAAAACTGCTAACCCAGAATTCCAGCAAAAATAAATCTTAAGAATGAAAATAAAGACATTTACTAATTAAAACAAACCAAAGAAAACTAAGAGCAAGATAATGTATCACCAGCAGATCTGTACTACAAAAAATGCTAGAGTTCTCAGGCTGTAGGGAAGTGATACCAGATGGAGACTTGAAAAAGGAATGAAGAACACTGGAAACGGGTAACTTTCTCAGGAAGTATAAAAGGCTACTTTTTCCTTCACTTAAAATACATTGGTCTAGGGCGCCTGGGTGGCTCAGTTGGTTAAGCGACTGCCTTCGGCTCAGGTCATGATCCTGGAGTCCCAGGATCGAATCCCACATCAGGCTCCCTGCTCAGCGAGGAGTCTGCTTCTCCCTCTGGCCCTCCCCCCTCTCAGGTGCTCTCTCTCTCTCTCTCATTCTCACTCTCTCAAAATAAATAAATAAATCTTTAAAAAAAATACACTGGTCTAGTTAAAGCAAAAATTAACATCTTGAGGGGTTATAGTGTATGTAGATGGGGTATATGTGATATGTAGCATATAGGAGGAGGAGGTAAAACAGACCTACATGTTCTAGGGTTTCTAAATTTTTTGTGAAGTGGTAGTAATATCAACACTAAGAAGCTTGTGGAAAGTTAAGGATATATATTGTGTTCCCTAGAGCAATGACTAAAAAAGTAATGTAAAAAATATAGCTAAAAAGTCTGTAGATAAATTAAAATGGAATTTAAAAAGATATTTAAATAATTTAAAAGGATAGGATAGAAGGAACAAAGGAACAAAAAACAGGAGGGACAAATAAAAAAAAGATGGCAGACTTAATCTAACTGCTAATTATATCAAATATTAATGAACAAACATGTCTAACAAAGAGAAGCTAGTTCTCCCTCCCCTCAGGTGGATGCAACCCTGAAGGCACAGATCCTGTCTTGGATGGGTTTTAGGCCCCCCATGCCTTCTCAACAAGCTGACTTTGTGCCATAATCCACAAATCACATGACTCTTCTTTTTTTACATGACTATTTTCAAAGGTCCTGTTTTTATGGCTATAAATGTATAGAGCCATAAAATTCAAAATTTTCCTCAATTAACTTTTGCCTAAAGGTAATGGTTATTTTTTTTACCCCTACCAGCACAACCTGCATATCATTTCTAACAAATTCTTATCACCTTTATCACACGGTATTATTTACATATACACTCATTCAACAACAAATATTTACTACACTTCTATTACTTTGCCAGGCATCCTTCTAGGTACTGGGTACACAGCAGTGAACAACCATAACAAAATCCCCTGCCCACATGGAGCTTATATCCTAGTTACAAAAAGTAAATCCATATTGATAAGCAAAGCACTAAGCTGCTCAAGCAAAGTGGCTTGTTGGGCTTTTTTTTTTTACATGCAAGTTTCAAATCATTATTTAATGTAAAGCTGGTTTCCTAAGTCATTATGTTATATTAAATTATGAATATTGTGTAATAGAAGTACTAGTACCTATATGGGGGCCCACCTGACTTACTACACCAGGTGTGTGTGTGTGTGTGTGTGTGGTGGGGGGGCAATGGGGAGGCCTAGGCATGCTCATTCTATGAAAGCATCCCCAAGGTATTTCCCCAGGTTTCCTCAGCTTTCCAGTTTTGGATGAGAAATCTTGGTTCTCAGTTTGTCGTAAACCATGAACTACTTAGATAAAATATGGAGACTTCATAGCCTACCTCCTTTATAGTGAAGTATGTAGTCATAAATCATTTGGAAAGGGACACATACATTCCAAATTGTATTCCAAATGTATTAATCCATACTAACTCATTGGTAAGAAGCGTATATATGCATGCAAAAGAATATCAATATCAGTGATTTTTAAATCTGAGAAATTCTGGGCACAATTCATAGGGAGAAAATTCTCACTGGTTATGTAATGACTGCCACAGCACAGGTTCATTGGGAGTTTAACATATATGCCATGATAATTAACATTACCTACTGCAACACGGGCACAAGCACAATTTTAAGCACTGAAATGGAGTCATCCAGATGACAAAATGTTTATAAAATGCTTTTATTATTCTTAAAATGAATATAAGACATGAAAAATTGAGATAGGAAAAGAGAAAAAAACCTACATTAACTGCCTTCCTAGGTAAACTAGATACAAATTTCATATATACTCATATACAAGGACTGAAATAATTTTTGTAAAAAATTTTTTGCCTATAGGTTTAAATATGCTAATTAATGAAAGGAATATACTTTAGGGAAAAATTAAAAGCCTAGAGATTAGTCAGTGTCCTTAATTTGTTCTTACATCCAGGATAATCAGTGACTAAGTCCTTATAAAATTGGTACTATATTATACGTCCATGGAGGATTCCACTGCCTTCTATTCTAATATTATCATATAAATTAATCAGAGTCACTTATTGCCCACAGGAGTTTCTGCTTCCCTACTTTCAACTAAACACTCCTTCTATAAACTAACATTAAGAATTGAATTGTACAGAAGGAACATCAAAAGAAATCTGTGTGAAAGACTCTACTCAGTACTGTTCACCAATTTACAGGAAATAACCTGATGGATACTGCTGCCATGATCACCACCACACATCACCTGTGACTGATTTCCAGGACTTTTTGGGTCCAGAAGCAGAAATCACTGAA